TGACCTTTTTCTCTGGCTGCCCTTAACATTTTTTCCTTTGTTTCAACCTTGGTGAATCTGACAATTATGTGTCTTGGGGTTGCTCTTCTGAAGGAGCATCTTTGTGGTGTTCTCTGTATCATCTGAATTTGAATGTTGGCCCCTCTTGCTAAGTTGGGGAAGTTTTCCTGGATAATATCCTGAAAAGTGTTTTCCAGTCTGGTTCCATTCTACCTATCTCTTTCAGGTACACCAATGAATTGTTAAGTTTGGTCTTTTCACATAGTCCCATATTTCTTGGATGCTTTATTCATTCGTTTTCATTCTGTTTTCTCTAATATTTTCTTTGTGATTTATTTCATTAAGTTGATATTCAATCTCTGATATCCTTTCTTCTGCTTGATCAATTCAGCTATTGATACTTGTGTATGCTTCACGAAGTTCTCGTGCTGCGTTTTTCAGCTCCATCAGGTCATTTATGTTCTTCTCTATACAGGCTATTCTAGTTAGCAGTTTCTATAACCTTTTATCAAGGTTTTTAGCTTCCTTGCATTGGGTTAGAACATGCTCCTTTAGCTCCAAGGAGGTTGTTATCACCCACCTTCTGAAGCCCACTTCTGTCGGTTCGTCAAATTCATTCTTCATCCAGTTTTGCTCACTTGCTGGCAAGGTGTTATAATCCTTTGGAGGAGAAGAGATGTTGTGGTTTTTGTAATTTTCAGCCTTTTTGCACTGTTTTTTCCACATCTTCATGTATTTATCTACATTTGGTCTTTGATATTGGTGACCTTTGGATGGGTTTTTTTGCACAGGCATCCATTTTGGTGATGTTGATGCTATTGCTTTCTGTTTGTTTTCCTTCTAACCATCTCCTCTTCTGCAGGTCTGCTGATATTTGCTGAAGGTCCATTCCAGATCTTGTTTACCTGGGTATCACCAGCAGAGGCTGCAGAACAGCCAAGATTGCTGCCTGCTTTTTCCTCTGGAAAGCTTCATCCCAGAGAGTCACCTACCAGATGCCAACTGGAGCTCTCCTGTAGGAGGTGTCTGTCAATCCCTGCTAGGAGGTGTCTCCCCGTCAGGAGGCATGGGTGTCAGGGACCCACTTGAGGAGGCAGTAGGTCCTCAAGCCCTTAGCAGAGCTCAAGTACTGTGCTGGGAGATCTGCTGCTCTCTTCAGACCCAGCAGGGAGAAATGTTTAAGCCGGCTGAAGCTGTGCCCACAGCTGCCTCCTCCCCCAGGTGGTCTGTCCCAGGGAGATGGAAATTTTATTTATAAGCCCCTCATCGGGCTGCTGCCTTTCTTTCAGAAATGCCCTGTCCAGAGGGGAGGAATCTGGAGAGCCAGCCTAGCTACAGTGGCTTTGCCGTGCTGCGGTGGGTTCCGCACCCAGTTTGAACTCCCTGGTGGCTTTGTTTATACTGTGAGGCGAAAACTGCCTACTCAAGCCTCAGTAATAGTAGATGCCCCTCCCCCACACCAAGCTCGAGTATCCCAGGTTGACTTCAGGCTGCTGTGCTGGCATCAAGAATTTTAAGCCAGTGGATCTTAGCTTGTTGGACTCCGTGAGGGTGGGATCCACAGAGCAAGATCACTAGGCTCCCTGGCTTTAGCCCCCTTCCTGGGCAATGAATAGTTCTGTCTTGCTGCTGTTCCACATGCCACTAGGATACAAAAAAACTCCTGTAGTTAGCCAGGTATGGTGGTTCATGTCTGTAATCCCAGCACTTTCGGAGGCTGAGGCGGGTGATTCACAAGGTCAGGAGTTTGAGACCAGCCTGGCCAACATGGTGAAACCCATCTCTACTAAAAATACAAAAATATGTCAGGTGTGAGGATGTGTACTTGTAATCCCAGCTACTCAGGAGGCTGAGGCAAGAGAATCACTTAAACTTGGAAGGTGGAAGTTGCAGGGAGTCAACATTACAGTGAGTACCACTGCACTCCAGCCTGGGTGACAAGAGCGAAACTCAATCAAAAAAAAAAAAGAAAAAAACTACTGCAGTTAACTCGGTGTCTACCTAAACAGCTACCCAGTTCTGTGCTTAGAACCCAGGTCCCTGGTGGTGTAGGCACCAGAGGGAATCTCCTAGTCTGCAGGTTGCCAAGACCATGAGAAAAGCATAGTGTCTGGGCCAGATAGCACTGTCCCTCACGGCACAGTCCCTCATGGCTTCCTTTAGCTAGGGAAGGGAGTTCCCTGACCCCTTAAGTTTCCTGGGTGAGGTGATACCCCACCTCCTTCTGCTCACCTTCTGTGAGCTGCACCTACTGTCTAACCAGTCCCAGTTAGATGAACTGGGTACCTTAATTGGAAATGCAGAAATCACCTGCCTTCTGCACTGGTCTCACTGGGAGCTGCAGACTGGAGCTATTCCTATTCAGCCATCTTGCCTGGGAATATAGCCCCTAGTTTTCTATCCAAGCTCCCACATTGATTCAACTTTGAGAACCAACAAAGGGCTTCTTACAGTATCCTGGCCAGCCACCCTAGTAGTCCCTTGGTAGCACAATGAGAACAAAAACAACAGATGATAAGATTGTTGACCAAACTCAGATTTCTAGGTCCATTTGCTTCAATTCTGCTGGTTATCAAACCTCCTCATAAGGTCATATCAATCAGATATAGTCCAGATGGTAACTGGTAAACTTTCAGCATGGAAAACATGGCTGCTGCCCACATAGCAAACACTGGCCAATAGAGTGGTATAAAAATGGCAATCAAGTGCCCTCTGCTGCTCAATCTATGCGATGGTCTTCTAGAGGAGATCTATGAGATTGGTCACCAGACAACAGGGTCTCAAAGGAATATGATTGATGGGCCCTCCAACAGATTGTGAACCACCAGGCACTACGGTCCATATGGTGATGTCCATTATGAACAGTTTAGTGCTATTTTCTCTAACTCTCTCAGTCAATCTTGAGACTTGAGTAGTTTGCGTCCTTGATGAAGAAAGCAATCTTATCAAATTTAGAGGGACACATTGTAGGGTCTAACATACAGATCCTTTCAAATTTTACCCAGATCTCTCATCTTTCATAAATGAACATAACTAGGGGCTAGGACAAGGTCTCTACGTCCCCAGTGGGGACCTGAGGACCCAAAGTTCCTTTGTTCTAGCTTCCAAAGTTCCCCAGCTATCTGTAATCAATGCGTAGGTTAAAACCTGGACAACATTCTACTCCTGGAAGAGGCATTAGCCTTCCACACTGTTTATTAAATCATCCTAGGCAGCCTCCTAAAGTCACTTGCAGACAAGGATACTTTGGACCTGGCTTCCAAAGTTCCCCAGCTAATCAATGCATAGGTTACAACCTGGACAAAGTTTCACTCCTGAAAGAAGTCTGACCTATCATCTAGGTCAAACTTCGAAGTGGGGGTGGGAAAATAATGACATTTCTTGGGCCTTTTGGTTACTGGTTAACAAATTACTGTGATCCCCACAATCCCTGACATGAGGATGAGGAGGAAACAAATAATTCTTTCTAGTTTTTAATCTTAGGTCACCACCAACAGGACCTCTTTCTAAACCAACTATGGGTGCCCTTTGGACCACTACAAACCTGTATTGTCATGGCCTCTACTAGTGAATATATTGCTGGTTAAATATATTTTCTATATGAAACAACACTAGCATTTACACCCACCTCCTGATCGGATTTGCTGCAGTCCAGATATTTTTGTGGGATATATGGAAGATCATGACCTGCTAAACTACTGGCACCTAGTACCAATGTCTACCAAAACCAGTATTAACACTCTGGGGATAAAAAAGGAAATAATTTCCCTCATTGCTGAGCTTTAAGAGGCCAATTATTTGTACACTATTTCTACATTCAATAGACCCATCTGGCCTATGTGAAAGACCTCAGGTGCCTAAACCCTACACTGATAGGGGCTCTAAAAAACGTTAAGTGCTGCCTTTGGCACCAGTGGTACCTGACATTGTGACAGTTACAAAGGCTGTTGTTCAGGATGAAGGAACTTGATATGTACCAATTGACAAAGCAAATATCTTTTCAGCGTTCCTCTCCATGAGGATGATCAGGATTAGTTAGCCTTATGCAGGATAGGTCGCAATACGCCACTACTATCTTTCCAGAAGGCTTCCAAAGTTCCCCAGCTATCTGTAATCAATGCGTAGGTTAAAACCTGGACAACACTCTACTCCTGGAAGAGGCATTAGCCTTCCACACTGTTTATTAAATCATCCTAGGCAGCCTCCTAAAGTCACTTGCAGACAAGGATACTACCCAATAGGAATCAGATGCTCTGTTCACTTACATGCAGCATGTACTATGCCATTATCACTGGACAAGGCACAAGGACCTAAAGCCCAAGTAAAATTCCAGGGTAATTTGTAAAGGCTATGGTGTTCCATTCCAAAGATGATGACTGTCATGCTTTTGGCCAGCTTTGACTCCAGAAGTAAAAATAATGTGAGCAATCGGTGGGACCATTGATTTGCTGCCAAGTTCACATTCAAGCCACAGAGACCGGACAGCAACCTCTATCAGGTTACCATAAAGACTACTACCTTTGAGTGGGGCTCTGACCAACATGATACCCTGGAAATCCTTCTATTGGCCACCCTGGCTGCCCTTTTCCAGAACCTATCTGATTTCCATTTGCTGCTTCAGTTACAGGTCTCAGCAATACCTCTGCCTGCTGATTGGAACTACCACAGATCAGAGGTGCCCACAGATGGCCAGAGTCAGCTGAAAGGCACCCATCTTTCATGAGACAATTATTGTCCTGAGATGGATACTGAGAACATAAACTAAGTTGCATAATGATATTATGACAAGAAATTCTGACCAAAACATATCAATATCTTTGTTTTTGTTCTTGAGTTATGTTAGAGTTTAGCTTAGAGTATAAGTCTATAAAATATATGTACTCAATACTTAGAATATAAGTTTTCTATAAAATATGTACTCAAATACATAAGTATGAACCAAAGAAAAAAGTTGAGATTAATTTACAATAATATAAAATAGCTATCATCATTATACTTACTACTACATCCTTCTCTAGAAGTTTCTTCTTTCTCCAATTGCACCTGGATTTTTGACACTGAATCTTGATTTTTAAGCATAGGATTTTCACCAGATTCTTCATCATGAGCTATGTTAAGATAGAAATTTAGTCCCTTACCAGACAAATAAATTTACTATGAAATACTAGATTTCAAATTTCTAACAAGTGGAAGCAACATTTCCTCTCATAAAGTTATAAGTAAACTACCTTAATGCTAGATCTGACATGAAAATGATGAGGAAAGTTTCAATGTGTGTTGAAGATGTATTATTATTTCATAAATATTCCTAGGTATTAAATGTGTTTTATATTAATCTCTACTTTCCTTATCTATATCTTAGGTTAATAATCATAGACCAAACAATGAAAATGCATATGCTCAAGGTCATTCATTACAGTGTTATTTGTAATTGCAAACTATCCAAATCCATTGATATTTTCAAGCGTAGGAGACTGACTGAATTAACAGATACACACACACACATGCACACACACACGTATATATACATGTACATGTATACTACAATGATATAATATCAATTGTGGTATATGTGTACATGAACATATATGGTAAATGATATGGTACACATGGCTGTACATACAGTAAGAAGTTCTCCTCCCATCTGTGCCGATACATCCTATCCTTGCCCAATGTCATTTTGTGGGAAAATGAAACATTGATAAGAGTCAGTGACCTTTCATGTTTAGACTCTTGCTTATGTTGTTGCAGTAAGTGAATAAAGGCTTGTTACTTTCAACTTGGCTTGCTCTCTTAATTGATCACCTTCACACCTGGCAGCTCTCTTGGTGACAAAGGGTTGTGAGCAGGGTGGGCAATTAAACACAATGCATTTCTGGAAAAGCAAAAAGCATGCAGATCCCCAGGACATTTGTGGGAGATGCTAGAGTTCATGAGACCTCTTGGGGGATACTAGTGGATCATTTGCAAGAGTCTGTCCCATGATGCACTCTGCCAGCCCTATCAGCGGGTCTTGGAAAATTCTGCTAACATCATGGGGCACTCTCAGAAAGTGGTAGCAGATTGTTTACATAGCTTTTGGGTTCTAAGGGACACCAGTGGTCCTTCTCTTTAGCCCTAGACTCTCAGGCCAAGATGCATGGTAGGTCAAATTAGAGATCCAACAGAGCGCCTCTGAGAAAGTTAGAGAAGCATTTCCTTGGCCACTGCTATTGTCCCCTGGAGATGAGACTGAAAGTTTTCAGAGAACCTGTGAGCTAATTTGCAGCAATAACTGCTGTTAGTTCCAGAGAGGTATCAGGCAATGACAGACAGCCTATGACCCAGCAAGGGATTGACAATCATCATTTAAATAGAAAGAATGGAGAGCCCTTTGGGATTGTTTTCCTTTGTGACCTAAGAGAAGACCTTAGAGGCATGGGTTGTTTGCCTGCATGATGAAAAAAATAATCCTGTTAAACTAACTTAGTGCTACCTTGTGGGTTGTGTCACTCTAGAACCCATCCTTTAGAGTGCCATGACAGCAGAGGTTTTGCTCAAGGAGGATAAGCAAAATGGGAGAATGAGAAGGGAGCACCCAAGCCCATCTTTTTCAACTGGGTTCTATTTGGGTTCCGACAACTTCGGCACATCCATGCTATCTTCCCTATGACTAAAATACATTTTTAGACCATGGTTGCAGAGGCTATACAGCCCTGCAAACAATACTGGTGGTCTCGTGGTCACTTGCTTGAGAGTGAGAGCAATCAATGACAAGAGTGAGAACAGTCAATGGTAAGATTTTTAATAAGACTCAGATTTATTCGTGTCACTCCTACTGGTTATGGAGCCAAATTAACATTAAACCTCCTCTAAGGTTAGGCAAATTGCTCAGCAAAATAATCTAGATCGGTGTCCCCAACCCCAAGGCCACGAACCATTACTGGTCTGTAGTCTGTTAGGAAACGGGTCACACAGCAGTAGGCGAGCACTGGATGAGTGAAGAGTCCTCTGTATTTTCAGCTGCTCCCCATCACTCACATTAATTACTTCCTGAGCTCCACCTCCTGTCAGATCAGCAGCGGCATTAGATTTTCATAGGAACAGAAACCCTGTTGTGAACTGCACTGTGAAAGATCTAGGTTGTGTGTTCTTTATGAGAATTAATGCCTGATGATCTGTCATGGTCTTCCATCAGCCTCACATGGGACTGTCTAGTTCCAGGAAAACAAACTCAGGGCTCCCACTGATTCTACATTATAGTGAGTTGTATACTTATTTCATTACATATTACAAAGTAAGAATATAAATATAAGTAATAATATAAATATGTACAATAAATGTAATGCACTTGAATCATCCCAAAACCATCCCCCACCTCAGCCCTGGTCCATAGCAAAACTGTCTTCCATGAAACAATTTTTGCTCAAATTTTGTTCACTTTCTCTAATGCCAAAAAGGTTGAGGACCACTGATTTAGATCATAATTTTATTCACTTACTGTGATAGTGCAAGCAACAGTCTAAACATGACAAATTCCTCAGCATGGAAAAAGCGACTGCTACAAAAAAGCAGAGACTCCATGAGAGACAGCAGCATAAAAATAGTCACTGGGCACACACTCCTCAATGATCTGGGTAAGGGCCTCACCAAAGAGATCTCTGGGTTTGGTTACCCAACAATAAAGACTTATAAAAGAAGATTAATGGGCTCTTCACCAGGGAACTCATGGCCTGGTGGTAGTGTGCCATCATGGGCACAATGGCAGCCTCCTCGGGTCTGCCTGGTGCTGGCCCCTATGAATAATACAAATGCTGTTCTCCTCTTCTCCCAGTGAATTTGGCCAAAAAAAAAAAAGACTATGACATGGCCAATGTCCCTATGTCCCTGGTGAGGAATGGAGGCCCTATATCAAAGTTAAAGTTCAAAGTGAACATGGAAAATTTAATTTCTTGGGCCTTTTGCATAATAGTGCACAGGTGACTGTGATCCCCAAAATCCCTGGCATGAGAATTAGGAGAAAATAGATAATGTTCTCTGGTTTTCAGTGAGAAGCCACCACCACCAAAATCCTGATCTGACTACAGGTAGTTCTCTTCAAGCCACTATATGCTTCCATTATTATGGCACCCGTTATTGAATGGGTTATTGTTATGACGTATTGTCTATGTCTACCCCTTTCTGTATTCACCCCCAATCCCTGAGGGGAATTGTTGCAATTAGGACCATTTTAGTGGGGGAATATGGAAGACTAAACCTGCCAGACTATTATAAACCTGCCAGACTATTATAACCTAGTGTCTTTGTCTCTTAAAAACACTATCAACTGTCTTGGGGATTAAAAAAAGTCTTCATTTCTGTGCCTAAGGAAGCCAAAGTTCACCATCTGGCCTTTGCTTAAGGCACTGTGTACCTGGAAACTTAATCGACTATTGGTGGCTCAATCTCATAGTTCTGTCTTTGACACTGGTGTTACCTGGCTTTATGACTATCATAGAGGCTACCACCCATGCTGAAGGAAATAGTTATAAAGCAATTGACGTTGTAAATGTCCTTTCTGGCATTCTTGTCCACAAAGATGATCAAGATCAGTCTGTCTTACATTAAATGGGCTTCATTACACCTTTAATGTCCTTCAAGGCTTCCTTCCTTCCACTCCCAGACGAAGTATTAGCCTTCCACTATATTCATCACATCCTCCACCAGGCCCAGACAAAAACACCACCCACCAAGGGCTAGATGCCATGCTGACCCACAGGTGGCAACATGGCTGAGCCATTAATGCAGACGAGGTATAAGGACCTATGACCCATGTGAAATTCCTGTAAATAAACTGGGAAGAGATGGTATGTTTCACTCCAGAGGAGACAATTGCCAAGCTTTAGTCACTCTCAGCCCCAAAAAATAAAAGGAAAGCCCAGACTGGTGCTCTCACATTCCATTCATGGGTATCTTCATGAAACCATCTATCAGGTTACCAAGAAGACCTCTACCCTTAGGTGCTACCTAAAGATAGGATGCTCTGGAGACCCTCCAATGACCGCACAGGTTGTTTCTCCCCTTGCCTTCTCTGATACATTTTGCCATTCGAGTTACACATCTCAGCAACCTCTCTGTTTGCCAATTAGAGTTTATGACAGAAGGATACCACCACAGGTCCCAAGGTTCCTGTTGAACAGTTGGACCCTTAATCTCCTACAGTTGGCTGAAAATAAACACCATTTGACAGATTAATGATTTTATTGGGTCCTGGTAGACACCGAGCACATAAGCATGCCATAAAATTCCAAGACTGGAATTTCCAGCCAAATATTATATGGCTTTTGTTCCCTAGTTATTTTAAGGTATTCACACTTTAAACTTCTTTGAACTATATGCTCAACTACATAGTCATGCACCAAAGAAAAAAGATCTAATGAGATTAATTTTTAAAATTTAAAGTTACCTATAATTATTATACTTACTACTATGTCTTTTCTCTATGGGAAGTTTTTTTGTTTTTTTTATTTGCATTTCAAGTTTTGACACTGAATCTTGATGCTCAAGCACAAGATTTCTGCCTGGTTCTTCATCATGAGCTACATAAGAAGATGCATTTAGTCTCTTAATGGAAAAACAGACCTACTGTTAAATCTCTAGATGTCAAACTTATCATTGTGTAGCGAAATTTTCTCATTTTGACAAATTTGTAAGTAAATTACCATAAATCCAGATGTGACATGAATACTATAAGAACATTTTTAATGGCTGCATGTTGAAGCTCATTATTTCATAACATTTCTAGGCATCTAATATATATTAGTCACTAGTTTCCTTAGGTTATTTATACTTTAAGTTAATACATATTTACAGAAATAAAAATAAAAATACACATGTAAAATGTTATTATATCACATATGTAATTGCAAAATATTAAAACCACATAATGTATAAAATACAGTAAGTCCTCACTTAATGACATTAAAAGAATCTTCGAAACTGTGACCTTAAGCAAAATGACATATAATGAAACCCATTTTACCATAGGCTAATTGACATAAACAAAAGTTAAGTTCCTACAGTATATTTTTTGTAGCATAAACATCACAAACTTCTAAATAAAGACCCAAAACACTTCTAATATTAAACACTAAAACAAATGTGAGCTATACATAGAATTAAGAAAAAATAATAAAAACAAGTAAGGTAATTATTTACCAAATTTGTGGTTAATCAGTGAGTGATGGTTGTCATAGTGGTGGTGAGTTAAGTCAGGGAATAAGTTCCTTGATTTATTCAAAAGAATAAATCAAAAGCAAAACAAAATTATAAGGAACATCTCCTCTCATCATGCAACTTAAAAACAATCACAAAATGTGGCTTACAGAGTGCTTTTGTACTGCATTGTTTATTGTCATGCATTTGTATAATTATTGTCTACTTTATGAATATTTATTTTACAATAATTGCATTCATTCATTCATTCATTTGTTTTCCAACCGACTTATTCTAGTAAAGGGTTGCAAGTGGTTGGAACCTATCCTAGCAGCTCAGAGCACAAGGTGGGAACGAACCCTCAACAGAATGGGTGTATTCAGACACATACCCACACTCACTCAGGCAGGGACCATTTAGACACACCAATTTGCCTAACATACATATCTTTGGAATGTGGGAGAAAATTGGAGCACTCGGAAAAAATTCAGGCAGACACAGGGAGAATGTGTCAACTCCAGACTATGTGCTTGGATAGGAATCCATTTTTTTCTCATTAACATTATAATCAAACCATGTTGAATAAAATGATGTTATTCAAGGACGTGTTGTACTGCACACTATGGTAGTACATATGGTAAATAATGTGGTGTAAACAACTGTAAGTGTAACTGTAAAACAAATTAAACATGTCTATAAATCGACTTGAAGGGATTTCAAAGAATAATGTGAAGGAAAAAAATATCTACAAAGGGAAAACCTTGAATGCTATCTTTGGGGAAGGAAGACAAAGAAATGAGAAAAAAAATAGAGAAGGAAATAGAAAGATAGTTATCTTTACAAAAAGAAGCAGAGGAAAGATATCAGAAACAAAGTTGTTGGTTACCTACAAAATGAGGGGGGAGGACTGGGGAAAAATAGACTCCTCTAAGTATAATTTTTGCATGTATTTTTTTTTTACTTTTGCAAATAGATCCATGTCCTACTTCACGTTTCAAAAATAAAAGATTCAACTTTTACAGATTTCAAAAATAAAAGTAAATCAGCAAGGAAAAGAAGGTGGGATGAAAACTAAAAAGAAATAATGAAATTATTGAAGAAAAAATAAAAGCAATAACTCATCAATATAGTATTTGACATAAACCCTCACTACTGGACATGAGAGGTAGAGATGGAGTGCAAACAAATCATGAAATCTTTTTAGTTGGTTTGTTGTTCTAGTATGTGTTAACCAAGTCTAACTCAATTTGAGAGGAATTAGAACAGGGAGCAAATAACTAAAAGTATTCATGTGATTCAGAGCTCCAGCTAACTCAGCGTCAGGATCCATAAAATGGAAAATAGCTTCTTGTTTGCAGCTCCCTCCACTATGAGACAACCCCAACCTATGACCACTCACACAGTCTACACTGATGCATCTGTCCCTTGCTAAGTGCTTGCTGTTCTATGGGGTAAAATGGGACACTGGTATAGCTGGGGACCTGCCTCTGTCTAGGCCATGGCTTAATATGCCAGTAAGTGCATAAAGTTAATTGTTACTTTGAGTTTGGCGTGTTATTTTTTATTTATTTTTATTTTTTTTGAGACGGAGTTTTGCTCTTGTTGCCCAGGCTGGAGTGCGGTGGCGCGATCTCGGCTCACCACAACCTCCACCTCCTGGGTTCAGGCAATTCTCCTGCCTCAGCCTCCTGAGTAGCTGGGATTACAGGCACATGCCACCATGCCCAGCCAATTTTTTGTATTTTTAGTAGAGACGGGGTTTCACCATGTTGACCAGGATGGTCTCGATCTCTTGACCTCGTGATCCACCTGCCTCGGTGTGTTATCTTAATAGACCAACTCAAAAACTGGCATTTCTCTTTCCGACAAACTACCACAAAGAGCAGGGTGACCAAGGAAGCACAAAGCCTTTCTGTAAAGAGCACTTGGTAGTTGCTAGTGAGCCTGCAGGATACTCTCAGTGGAAGGGGTATGGGGTTGGTAATGGATCATTTGCAAGGGACTCAGCATCCCACATTTTAGAATGTGCCAGCAGACACTATGGGGTTTTCTAGAATGCTAATGTATTGTTTAGAGGAGGTTTTCAATTCTGACAGGGAACAATAGTCTTCTTATCCTCTGATTCACATACCAAGATTTCCAATGAGTCAAATGAAAAAATCCAGCAGACGGGCTTTGAGACAGCTAGGGAAGCAATTTTGTGGTTACTGCTCATGGTCCTAAGTTAATAAGCTCAAAAAAGTTGGAGAGACTGCACACCGAGTTGCTATTAATAGTTAATAGTTATCCTAATAACTATTCTTAGTCATAGGCATTCCCCTAAAACTGGCAGACAGCCTGCAATGCAGTCAGTTATTGAGACTCATGCTTTAATGAAAAACAATGTAGAGTCCTGCTGATCATTTTGCCCAGCAACTAAGGGATGTGGGTAGTGTGCCTTCACAATAAAGGGGATAATCTTGTTTAACTTAGCAAGGCATATTGTGGGGCTTATCACTACAGAATGCCTCTTCAGAGAGCCTTGACAGTGCTCATATTGCCTAAGGAAGTGGAGGAAGGGGAATCAATGATGTAAACATCTGAAACCCTCTCCCTCCTCAGTTGGGCACTATTTTTGGCTGACAGGATTGCCTCCCATGATGAGCTCCCTGCTACTGAAAAACATGTCTGAGCCATCAACTACGGAGGCTATAATGGCCCCTTGAGCCATTTTGCTGTCTCTAAGGTCACTGATGGAGTGAAGACAGTAATAACAAGATTTGGCCAGACTCAGATCTCTAGTTTCATTTCATAGCCACCTTCACTAGTAACCCAGCTCAATTAAACTTCCTTATAAGGTAATGTCGATTAATTTGTGGCACAATCCAGATCTTAATTGACAAATTTCTGGGCACAGAAACATCTACCACCAAGATAGCAATGTGTGACCAGTGAGCAGGGTGACCTAAAAATGGTAATTTGTCACCTATTCCTGGATGATCTAGTTAAGGGCTCTCCCCAAGAAATATCTGAGTCTAGTTAATCAACGATGGAGTCTGAAGTAGGACATTGATGAACTTTTCACCAAAGATTTCCTGGTCAGGTAGTGGGCCATGGGTCCCAAAACATGGCTCCACTAAATCTAGACTGTGATGACCCCTATGACTAATAAAAGTACTCTTCCCTCTGCACCTCCCAGTGATATTGAAATAAGTCAGAGAGTCCTCCACTACTTCTGCTCAAACTTCATGCTTTCAAAAGTAAAAATTAAGAGTTAGACCAAGATCCCTAAATCATCAGCAGCAATCTGAGAATGTATGGTAAGGTTAGAATTTAAAGGGAAGGTGGGAGGAAATTGCATTTGTAGGGCCATTGGGATACTGGTGCACAGGTGGCTGTGATCACCACAACTTCTGGGGAAACGAAGCAATGCTCTTTAGATTTGCATCTGAGACCACCACCAACAGGACCCTTGGTCAAACACTACCATGAGAATATCCTTTCAGACAACTACAAAACTGTATTTTATTCCCCTCCCCCACCAAATGTATTGTTGGTATAAATGTATTTTCTATGTGAACCCCCCTACTTGCATTCATCCCAATCCCTGATGGAAAACTTCAGCATTTAAGGTCATTTTAGTGGGGCATGTGGAAGAGTGTAAATATCCAGATTAATAGCACCTAGCACCTTTGTTTTCCAAAATAGCTTCCTAGGAAGAAAAAGAAATGGCTGTTGTCTTTTGTTGAGCTTAATGAAGCAAAGTTCTCCCTGAGACTCTTTCTCCATTCAATAACTAAGTAGATCTTGTACACGGCCTCAGGTGCATAATGACTCAATTGATTTTGCTGGTCCAATGCTATTTTACAGCTCTAGGCACCAAAGACACATGAGTCTATAGTTGTCATTCAGGGTATTTTCCAAACTGAGGGAACTTGGTTTGCAACAACTGACATCTCAAATGCCTTTTCATATCTTTTTTTTCACTTAGATGTTCAGTTTAATCTTATACAGAATAAGTTGGAAAACATAACTGATATCCTTCCACGAGGCTACCAAACTGCTCTAAAACTGTCATCAATGCATAATGACCTCTAAATGAACTGGTCCCAAGGGGAGGACTAGCCTTTCATTATATTGATTATATCATTTAAGTGAACTCAAGCAAGGACATCACCCAAAAGGACTGGATGCTCTAATGACCCACCAGTGCCTCTTAGCTAGGCAATTAGTTCAGACAAGATACAGTTACCTAGTAACAGGATGAAAATGCTTAGGATTGATTTCTAAGGGGTGACATCTCATTCCAGAAGAGACTACCAAGCTTTGACCCTTTCTAGTCTGACAGAAACAAGCTCAGCATGGGGACAATGGCTCACGCCTGCAATCCCTGCACTTTGGAAGGCCGAGGTGGATGGATTATTTGAGGTCAGGAGTTTGAGATCAGCATGACCAACATGGTGAAACCCCATCTCTACTAAAAATACAAAAATTAGCTGGGTGTAGTGTCACATGCCTGTAATCTCAGCTACTTAGGAGGCTGAGGCTTCAGCATGGGAGACAGAGGTTGCAGTGAGCCCAGATTGGGCCACTGCACTTCAGTCTGGGCAAGACAGTGAGACCCTATCTCAAAAAAAAAAAAAAAAAAAAAAAAAAACAAAAAAAAAAAAAAAAAAAAAAAAAAAAAAAAAAGCCCAGCAGTTAACGAAATTGTTTGGATAAATACATTCTCATTTTCCCTCCGTGAGATCGTTGATGAAATTAATTCATCTATGGGGTTACCAGAAAGTCTGTTTCATTTCAGTGGAGCCATGACCAAAAGGATGCCCTAGAGGTCCTTAAACGGGTATCCTAGGTTATCTTCCTCTAGGTTCTTATGATCCCCATTTGCTGTTCTGAGTTACAGATCTTAGGACTATCTTTGCTGATTGGTGCCTTTGGCAGAAGGTCACAGGTGAGAGGTGCCCATTAAGTGGCTTGGCCCATAATTACTTTGAGTTGGCTGAACAGCACCTAACACTGGAAAGACAAGTAAACATTTGTTATAAAGCCTTAGGGAGTACTGTGTGTCCTGTGGTCATGAAATAATCTTAGAGCCAGAAATCTCAACCAAAGCTTATCAATATTTTTCCCTTTTTTCTCTAATAATTTTAGAGAATAAATTCACATTTTAGTCAAAGTGTAAAAATTTGTGAACCAAAACAAAAATACCTTCTGATGAACTTACTTTTAAATAATGTAAAGTTATCTTTACTCTTTATACTTACTAGTAATTCTTTGCCCTTTGAGAGTTCTTTGTTCCTTCACTTGCATTTCTGATTTTGACACTGAGTCTTGATGCCTAAGTATAAGATTCTCATCTGGTTCTTCAACATGAGCTACAGAAAGAGATGTGTTTAGTTCGCTAAATTAAAAATAAATCTATTTGAAAGCCATAGATTTAAAATTTACAAGTATGCAGTGGCATTTTCTCTCATTTTTGTAAAGTTGTGAATAAATTGGCCCCTTTGATCTTCATTTGAGTTACAAGTCTCAGCAAACTTTCTGTTCACTGATTGAAGAAGTTTACTGAACAGTTCAGTGGAATAAATTGGGCTTCTGGACCTGTCTAGAGTTGGATAAAAGGTACACACTTTTTGAAAGACAATTACTGGCCTGTTATTGTCCTTTTTGAATATTGAGCACATGACCATGGCTATCTGTTAAAGCAGAAAAACTAACCAAAAGTAATGAATACTCTACTTTTTTTCACTAGTTATCTTATGGTGCTCACATTTTAGATTCAAGGTAAAATTTCTATAAAATATATAATAAAAAACATTCATAAACTGAAGAAAAATATCTTTGCTGTGACTAATTTAAAATAATTTAATGTTAAGCATAATTCTTATACTTACCAGTGAGCTGTTGCTCTGCAGAATTTTCTTGTTGCTTTACTTCCAATTTAGTTTTTGACATTGATTCTTGATGCTCAACTACAAGCCCTTCATTTGTTACTTCATTATGAGTTACATAAAGAATATACATTTAATACATTTACTCCACTAAATTAAAAAAAATGGATCTATTGTGAAATTTCTATATTTCAAATTTATAAAACATTTACATGAGCATTCTCTTCACTTCTACAAAATTATAACTAAATTACAACAATGATAGATTTGATGAGAAAATGCTAAAAAGAATTTTAATGGCTGTATGTTGATGCTTTGTCATTTTATAAACATTTCTAGGAATCATATATAGTTAAACTATATTTATCTTAGGTATTTAGATTGTATAGATCATACAGATATCATAAACCAAACAATAAAAATGCATATGTACAAGTTTATCATTACGGCATTATTTGTAATTACAAAATACTCAAAACCACATAAGTGTTCAAGCATTCGATATTGGTTGAATAAGCCAATGTATACACTATAAAGTTCTAGGGGTATCCAAGGAGAGAATACAGTCATGGGTTCTTAGTTTCTGTTTCTGGTTGGGCCAGTAAAGGCCCTTCATCATTCTTCTTTTCCACTTATCATTAGAGACAGAAACTAAAAACCATGGCTTTAGGTTGCTAAAAGCCTAAAACGAAACAAAGCAGAACCATAACCACAACAAAAACAAGGTGGGTTGGACAAGCTTGCTATAAACTCTAGTATAATGAAAATTTTGGTTAATAATGTGGTACAAACAGCTATACATAGAGCTGTAAAAGCAATTCAAAAAAATCTCTGTAAACTGACCTGGAGGGATTTCCAGGAGATAATGTTAAGTAAAAAAAAAATTAAAAAAAAAAAAAACTGAAAAAGGGAAAATGTGTATGCCACCTTTAGGTAAGGAAGAAGGATAAATAAGAAAAAAAAAAGGAAATTAGAAAGATATTTAGCTTTATAAAATGAAACAAGTGAGATATAAAAATACAATACCATTGATTACCTACAAGATGAAAAGGGGAGAACTCGGGAAGGAATGGAACTTCTCTAAGTATACCTAGTATATTTTTTACTTTTAGTATCAGTTTCAGGTTCCATATATTTCAAAAAAAAATAAAATCACAAAGGATAAGAAGAAACTAAAACTAAAAGCAAACTTAGTGAACCCATAAAAGGGAAAAAAGAACTCATACAGGTAAATCATCAGTACAATATTTAACATATGCCCTAATACATAGGCAAGTGAGTGAAGAAGAGACTGTACACACATCACAAAATATTTTCAGTAGGTTTGTTTTTCTAGAAGTATGTGCTAAGCAATTCAAAAACAATTTTGGAACCATAAGGAACCATAACACAACCTAGATTTTAATGCCAAGATGGCTGACTAGAAGCAGCCAGTGTGCACTGCTTTCACAGGAGAGGAGACAGAGTGGCAAGTAAACTTATAAACTTACAAGTGGCAAGTGGCTCTTCAACTGGATCATTCAGGAGGCCACACTGGGATTCATCGACAATGAGAGGAGTGAGGCAGGACAGCTGCCTGCCAGGGGATTGGCATAGAGCCAAGAAAGGCTCCCTACCATGGGAAAAAAGTGAGTGTGTGAGAGCCCCTGGGGACACACACCTATGCTGTGAACCTTTGCAAACCTAGGCACAAGAGATGCTGCCCAACCCTACTTAGTGGGGCCCCCAACTGACACAGAAAGCTTCATGGAGTCTCAGCAGAGCCACTGTTCAGGCCCATGTGGAGCTCCAAGGGCTTTTATTCCTGAGCACCCTCGGACCATCTGCCATAGCTCTGCCAACAAGGGAACCAGGGATATCCCATGTGCCCCCAAAGTAAGGGCCTCATCTAGGATACTGAGGAGTGGACAGACTGCAGGCTTCACCTCTGGGACACCTTATCAGGCAAAGCCCACCAGCCTAAGTCCTCAGCATAATCATCCCTCCACCCCCAACCTGAGCACTTCCACTGGCTGCAACTCTGCATTTCTCTGGGGCAGAGCTTCCAGAAGTAATACAACAGGCTCACAGCTTTTGTCACTGCCACAGTCTCCCCAATCCCCATGCCCTGAGGCTACAGTGACAATCTAGAGCTCAAGGACTGTCTCAGGTCTCCAGCATGCCACACCTGCCATACAAAAAACAGCCAGACTATTTTTCATGCAGGTCCTCGCTCCTGCTATTCCTCACTGGGCAGGGCCTCCTGGCTTCAACTCTCAGTGCAGCCACCCTACTTCTGTCTGATCTCTTCAGTATGTGGCAGCTCTGTGTTTCTCTGGGGTAGAATTCCCAGAGGTAACTAGCAACCAACCCCTCTGCCATTGCTACTGCAGCAGTACTCACCCTTGCTACCAACAAGCTGGGGAAGAAAAAAGAGCCTGAGTGCTTTACTTGAGCGTCCAGCACACCACGGCTGACCTACAGAGAAAAGACCAGACTGTCTTCCCAGTGAGCCCCCACTCCTCCTGCTCTTCACCAGGCAGGGCTCCCTGGCTTGGGCCCCTCACACAGCCGCCTCACCATTAGCTGATTGTTCTGATTGGCAGTGCTCTGCCTTTAATGTGGAGCTTGCAAAAACAAGTGACAGGACCTATGCTATTGGCACTGCCAAGTCCTGCTGCCCCCAACTGGGGAAAGACCAAAAAGCCTGAGTTTGCCCCAGGGCTGCAGTGCACAACCTGGGAATGCCAAGCCAAGATCTATGGCTGGCACTGAAGTGAAAGAGGAGCCCACAGTCTCAGAGCACCGAGAAGGAGCATGGTTGCAAACACAAGGAAATGCAGAGGAGCCACATGCCTCAGTAAGAGCCTATTTACCAACCATTATGCATAAGTGTCCTCTGTTTGTACTCAAAACTACAACAATAAAAATACTTTGTCAACATACTTCCCTATGAAAACAAGGGCAAGAATTCAGCTACAAATAAAGACCCTACACAAAGCCTCCATGCTCTGAAAACATTCAGAAGTCAATTGACTATACTAAAAATATACCACAGTTAAAACAAATATCTGCCAAAACAGGTAAGAGAGAACCAGTGCAAGAACTCTGGCAACTCTATAACCCAGAGAGTCTTCTTATCTCCAGACAGCCACACTAGCTCCCCAGCAATGGTTCTTAACCAGAATGAAATGGCTGGAATGACAAAGAATTCAAAATCTGGATGGCAATGGGGATCATTGAGACTGAGAAGATGATTTAAATCTAATCCAAGGAATCTAAGTAATCCAATAAGACTATCTCAAGGGATGAAAAGCAAAATAGTCATTCGAAGAAAGAAACAAATTGATCTGATAGAGCTGAAAAATTCACTACAAGAATTTCATAACACAATCAGAAGTATTAACAGTAGAATAAACCAAGCTAAAAGAAGAATCTCAGAGCTTAAAGACTGGTTCTTACAATTAAACCAATCAAACAAAAATAAAGGAAAAAATAATTTAAAAAATTTAAAACCTCTAAAAATGTGGGATTATATAAAGAGACTCACTGGAGTCCCTGAAAGAAAGGGAGAGAGAGCAAACAACTTGAAAAACATATTTAAAGATACTGTCCATGAAAATTTCTCTAACCTTGCTAGAGAGGTCAACATTCAAAACCTGGAAATTCACAGAACCCCTATAAGATGCTATATAAGATGATCATCCCTAAGACACAGTCATCAGATTCTCCAAGGTCAACATGAAAGACAGGGCAAATCACTTAACAAAGGGAACCCCCTGTCAGGCCTCCAAGTCCAAGCCTGGCCATTATAGCCTTGGTGACCCACATGTACACTCTGGATGATCCCCAGGAGCCAGAAAGTCTGAAGTAACCACAGGTAACCAGGTGTCCACAGAAAGAAGTGAAACAACTTGTCCCTGACTCAACTAATTGCTCTCCCCCTGCAACCTTCAACCACTGTTCCTGCTCAGCCTTGGGAAAATTTCCCCCTGGACATTGTGTTTCTCAAGACCCCCTCCCTGTAACTATGAAATTTACTGCACCCTCCCCTCTACTTGCAACCGATAATCCCCACCCTTATGATCCTGCCTGCTTATAACAGATGACCCTGCTCATGCATCCCGTGATGCCTTTCCCCTCCCTAAGATAGATTACCACCTTTAACCATTTGCCCCAACCTATATAACCAGTCCCCTTTCCCACCCTCTTTACCTTGGACTTGGCCCACCCAAGCATGGAATAAAAAGCCTCATTGCCCACACAAAGCCTGCCTGATGATCTCTTTACCTGAACAATGCGTCTAACACCCCCCCCAACACACACACCATCAGATTAACAGCAGACCTTTAAGGAGAAACCCTACAAGCCAGAAGAGATTGAGGGGCTGTGACAAATCTACAACCAATATCATATTGAGCAGGCAGAAGCTCAAAGCATTTCCCTTAAGAACTTGGACAAGACAAGGATACCCACTCTCACCATTCCTATTCAACATAATACTGGAAGTCCTAGTCAGAGCCACAGGCAAGAAAAAGAACTAAAAGGCATCCAAATAGGAAGAGAGGAATTCAAACTATCTCTCTTCACAGATAATATGATTCTATATCTAGAAAATCCCATAGCATCTGTCCAAACACTCCAAGATCTGATAAACAACTTCAGCAAAGTTTCAGTATATAAAATAAGTGTACAAATATGAGTAGCATTTCTATATGTCAGTAATGTCTATGCTGATAGGCAAATCAAGAATGGAATCCTATTAACAATAGCTACAAAAAGAATAAAATATCTAGGATTATAGCTAACCAGCAAGGTGAAAGAATTCTCACTCTACAATGAGAATTATAAAGTGTTGCTAAAAGAAATCAGAGATGATACAAAGAAGTGGAAAAACATTCTGTGCTCATAGATAAGAAGAATCAATATTGCTAAAACTGCCATGCTACTCAAAGCAATTTATATATTCAACATTATTCCTATCAAACTACTAACAACGTTTTTCAACAGAGTAAGAAAAACCTATTCTAAAATTCATATGGAGCAATAAAGAGCCCAAATAGCCAAAGCAATCCTCAGCAAAAAGAACAAAGCCCAAGACAGCACACTACATAGTTTCAAACTATACGACAAAACAGCATGATAGTGGAACAA